GACTCTCCGAGACTCCTGGCTAAGTTGCGCAGCTGGCGGCTCTCCAAGCCAGATAAGGTCTGTGACTGTAAATCCTCCCTTGAAAGAGTTTGCTGGATGTGAAGGAGCAGAATTCACAGCGAATTAATAAAAGGTGTTTTTTTTTGTCGGGACCAGGAGTTTGCTTCAGCCTCTTCGGAAGCCTCGGTCAGAACAAGATCTTCCTTGAAGCCAAACTAGCTTCCCATGAGCCCGAAGCAAACCGAGAAGGCCCAAAACCGATTCCATATTGAATCAAGATCTCTGCAATTAGCTCATTGCAAAATGTACACAATAACTCTTGGAAGAGATGCAATCCCTGTGATAATTACTCCTGTTGCCTCACACCGATTTTGAACGGCCCAGACTCCCTGGAGTCAGGCAAGGCAATGTACAAACTTAAATAATCACGACGACTTCAAGAATAATGCCGACGACTTCTCTTGAAACTGGGTTCCCGCTTAACTGCTTCCCACCGGGATCTTTTCAATAAATCAAAAGACTGTGGAACTGGGAGGAATGTTAAGCTGTAAATCTTGATTTCCAAATCCAGCATCTGGATTCACATAACTCACGACATAAAGCCAGGCAAATGAAGTTGGGTCTAAAAATGTCCTGGACATCTAACTTGGTTGTGGGGTCTTTAGCGCTCTGGAGACTTGGTGGCTTCCTTGCAGGCGTTTCTTAACCCAACTAGGTAACAGCATCAGTGCGAGGAAGGAGTGGGAGTGGAGGAAGAGAAAGGCAAAGAAGAGGAAGACTGTGAGGTCCTTGGTGTGCCCTCTTGAGCTTCGTTGTTTTCTTGTAGATGTTTCATTACAGAGTGTCCTTGACTTACGACCACAATTGGGCCCAAGATTTTCTGTTGCTAAGTGAGACGTGTGTTGATTCCCCCCCCAATTGGCGATCTTTCTTAACCGCACTTGTTCATTGTTTCAGTTGCTTACAGGGTTGTAAAAGTGAATCTGGCTTTGTCAGGAGGTCCTAAAAAGTGACCACACGACCCCCCCGGGGGACAACCACACTCGTCATAAATACGAGTCGGTTGCCAAGCATCTGAATTTTGATTAGGCAACCAACGGGAATGCCGAAATGATCGTAAATGCGGAAAATGTTTCACTTTTTTTTTTCAGTGTCCTTTCGAGCGGTCGTTAAACAAGCCGTCATAAGTCAAGGAATACCTGCACTCAAGTAGGTCACATTCTCGGTGCTAACCAGTTGCAATTTGCTTGCCTGCAGATGGATTACCGGTGTTTGGTTCACGAACGCGACGAAGCCATTTACCGAGAAATGCAGATCATGTTGCTTGATATTCGTGGATTTTATGTAAGCGAGCCAAAATTGTTTTGTTTTTTTTTAACTAGGGGAAGATTGAGAGGGCAGGAATAAAGGAATGAAGAAAATCAGAGAAGATAGAGGACAGGTTTAAGATACAGAAGGGTCTTGACAAACTTGAACATTGGGCCCTATCTAACAAAATGAAATTCAAGGGCGAAAAGAGTAAGGTTCTACATTTAGGCAAGAAAAACGAAATGCACAGGTACCGTATAGGTGGTACATGGCTCAAGAGTAGTAACTGTGAGCGGGATCTCTGCGTTTC